CCCCCCCGCCACCTCCGCGCTAGCCTTTCTTCTTTCAGACGTCTGAGGAGTGGACACCGCTGGATGCTAACATTGAACTGATAAAGCGAGGTGGCGCGGGGGCAGGGGGGGGGTAGTGTACAGGGCGAAGGGGCCCAAAAATGTATTAGCCGATGGTCGCATTTGCCAGCCAATTGACGGTTCTCAATGCCCTGCATAACACGCCACCGTTGAGTGGACGGCGGAGGCCGAAGGGTCATTGTGCCTGTGTGGCCCCCTCCTGCAATTTGGCCGCATAAGTGATAACCAAAGAAGACAAAAAAGGCGGCTTCATTCCACTCGTTTTGAGCTGCAACAATACGTCAGTGAAGCGTGAAGTGACTCAACGTTCATTCGGATTCACTGATCTGATTCTCCCGGGACAATCTAAAGCGACCTTTTGGAAGCCATGGCGTTTATCTTACATTTCAGAAATGCCAACGCGCAGCACCAAACAAGAACGTCCCAAAAAGTTGACCTAGCGGAATAAACTATGAGGTTTCAACAAACCAAACAAAATCTTGTCCGTTTAGAACACACCGCAGCTGCCTTTGCATTGCCACATATGGGAAGGGGGAAAGTTTTAGTGCCTCTCAGGAGACTGAAATCTCGATCGGCCAACATGAGATCATGGACGTCACGATCACAGCGCGCGTGACGCCACAAGTTTGGGACCGTCTGAGTTTGAAAGTAAACAAGCAACTGTGCTTTCCAACCACCGACACTTCGTCCATTGACGAGTAACACGTATGCAAGGGAAAAATCCGCAGAGCACCTGTCACAAGCTGCCAATTCCAATGATTAATTATTTCTATCAATCCCTCCCAGGCTTTCTATTTTCAAATGATCACACCGGCCCACCACTGGACGAATCCGACGGAATAATTGTAATGTCCACCTGCTCCCGTGGCCAAGCCAAACAGGCAGGAAAGATGGTTGAGGCACATGGGCGGATAACAGGTTATGACGATTTGGATCGCAAACGCAATGACACACACACACACACACACACACACACACACACACACACACATACACACACACAGGAAGGCGCATAGCCGCATACAATGCGAGAAACACACCCAGGGCCCCTTTTTGGACTTTAATAGCTGTTTGTCGAGATGAAGCGAGTTCGGCGTCCCTGCTCGTCGGAGGCCGCGGTAATAGGATTAGGAGCGGGCCAAGTCCAATGCTCCGTTTGACACCTTTTGTCCGCCCGCCCCGAGACGCAGATCACAGCCATGGCGAGCGGGACAAAAGCCTTTGAAGCAATTTGTGTTGTCGCTACAAATGCGTCCCGATGGGAGAACGGCGAGCCGCAGGTTCCACGGCACATCAAATTAACGCCGATTGTTGATGACTCAATCTGCATTTTGGGGTTGGGGGGGGAGCGTTTCCAAGAAACGATGCCGTCTCACATTCAGGATCTTAATGAGATGGTTCACAATCAATTCATTTTTGAGAAACTCCTCGTTACTATTTCTAAAATAAATCGGTCGTGACGAAACAGCAAACGGTATGCTGGATGACCCACAAGGTCCAATCGCATTTTCAGTTCTTGTTCCAAGAGGACGTAGCCATTACTCCAGTCGAGCACCCCCAAAAGGTTTACTGTATTCCAAAAAAGGCAAAAGCAAACAACCCCCCGCCCAAAAAGCACTTCGGTATGATCAAAAAAATAGCAAAGTGGAAACCCAAAGCAAGTCGCAAAGAGTCCCGTCAGAAACAAAAGACCCAAGACTGATCACAATGGGGAAAATGTCAACAGCGATGACCCAACCATGACTGACACATTTCTTGATCTCTTGCTTCAGCGCCATTTGACCTCGTCTTACTCCCGGTGTGCGCACCTTGGCCACCGGGGACAATATAATCCACATAATGACACGCCAAGAAGAGTAACACAACTAAGTGACCCAATAAGCTGCAGTAAGAGGAGTCGTTTTATGCAGAGGATAAAGAATATATGCTTGTGAGTATTGCCATGTTGTCTTTTGACATATCGTCAGCTCATAGCGTCATTGAGGTTGCGGGTTCGAATGTGGGCTCCGCGAGTGCGTTCCGTTGCTCACTGCGCGTGTGTCATCTGTGTGTGACTTTGAACCTCGCCTCGCTGACTTTTGGCAGGAAGCGTAGCCGCTCATAAAACTCTTTTTGGTGGTTCTCCCAGTGTGCACTGAGGCTGGGGAGAGCACAGGTGGAGGGGAATTCAAAGTAGGGCCGACGGTCGGCACACGCTTGTGCAACCACCATTTTGGAATGGTTCTCTTTTGACTTCCCCTCTTGAAAATAGATATATTTTGCAATATTTTGAGTTGTGCAAGTTAAGGGTGGGAAAACTTTTGAGATTATTATTTTTTTTTTTAAGACCACAAATGATGACTTTTGAACAGGGGTGTGTCGACTTTTTATATCCACTGTATTATGTGGATGTAAAACAAAGTGGAATCCTTCATAGAAAGTGAACAAAATCATTTGAATTTTTTTTTTCTAATGCAACATTCTAATTTCTTGAGATGGAAAAAAAATCTGTTTTCATTAACTCTGAAGAAAAGACAAGCATGGAAATTTTCACTCTGCGTCATTCAAAAATGAGTTTCACAGGCCAAAGCAAACGCATTATTTTCCACCGTATTACTATTTCATATTCTGATACTTTATTGGACATGCTCCTGTCTATCATAGAAATGCATTGATGTTTATTCAACTGACATGTGGTAAAACGATTCGCTTCCTATTGTTCAATCTCTATCATAAAAAAAAAAAAAAAAAGAACATCAGACTGATTAATCGATACATATGATTAAAAAAAAAAAGAAGGGAAGTTGTCTGTGGTGTGAATGTGCGCCAACAGTGACGCAGAAAGCCCGTTTACCTTGAACTCCACTCGTCCCGTCTGTGGGGCGGGGTCAGGTATTATCGCCGGGGGCGAGAAAGGGCGCGGGGACAGAGAGGGGGGGGGCTAAACCACCCCCCGGGGTCGTGGGCCGCTGCCCTCGCTGGGGCCTGTAGAATGGGGGGCGCAGCGAGGTATTGGCAGATTTTTGTGGGGTGCAGATGCTGGATATGCAGATGTCTAATCGAATTGTGCGGTCATGAATTGGTTGCCCCACTGATTTGCATGAGGACAATCCCCGGCGGCGGTTTGGGGGTCAGCGCGGACCCCCGGACCAAATGAGCAGCCGGCTGCAGACGCCCCTCCAGGACGTGTGAACTTGAAGTAGACTTTCCTCAACGACAAAGATTATTGATTGAGAGCAATGTCTGTGAGTCGGTCTGGGAGCGCGTCTGACATCTGTCCTTCTCGGGAAGATGTTTCCCAAAGGGGGAAAAAACATTTGAGGTCAGGACAACCGGATAACAATAAAGCTGGTACCGTTTTTTAAAAATACAGTTTTGCCGATTTTTGAAATAAGCAATCTGATATGACCACAAACGTGAAACGCACACAAAAAAAAAGTGAACAAAAAATATCCAATGACCTCACATACAGTGTTATTTTTTTGCACTATAAATACTCCGATATTGTATCTTTGTATCCTACTAGAATGAATGAATCAATGAATCAATCACTCCTGTATGTCCACAGACAAAAAGGTCTTAGTGGCCACCAAGTCGAAGCCTGAAATAGAATGGAAAAAGCGCAACATGGATCAATAATCTCGTTAATATCATTTCTTCTCCTCATTTCGGGTCCTCACCTTTGCCCTCTCTTTTCCAAAACCTGCACGATGCGATGGCGCCCACCACCACGAGCAGCAGAACCACCGCAGTGCCTCCAACCATCGGATCGAGCAGCGGCGGACCCGGTGACAAATCTGGACATGGGCAGAAAAGAATTGTGAGTTTTTGGGCAACTACTGTACTATCATCTGCAATTGTGGTTCAAAAACTTGGGATACCAGGTGGGTCGCGAGTTCTAACTTGGTCATCTGTCAACCTATTTGTGAAAAAACATTTTTAGAATGGTCTTGTTTCTTAGTTGGAATAAAGTCCCTCACCACCTAACAGAAAATGTCCCGATAAGGGCAGTCCAAAAAGTTTTTTTTTTGGTTGCGGCTCTTCCGTCGCTTCCCCTCGTGAATTGCCAGGATCCACTGTATGATATATGATACTGCCCCCTGGTGGCCACGTCCCACACACCAAAATGAGGCCCATTGAAGAGCATGAAATCATGATACAAAAACTGTTTCAGGCGTCACATTCTACTTATTTGTCTTAAGTACCATAGTGTATGGCACTGAATTGAAAAAAAAAAGTTCTTATTTTTGGTGGTGTTTTTTGGGGGGGCTCGAACAGATTCCTGACATTTTCCATTTCCATCCACCACCACCACCGATGTTCTTTGGCCACGGTGCCACAAGAAGGCGCCCAAGATTTCCAGTCCAACTTGGTGACACCGTACCTCGAGGGACATCACGAATCTGTCCGATATGATGGTAGTTCGTAGTACCCATTTCCTATAAAATGGCCGCCAACTACGATGTATAATACAGTGTGAACATATAGAGATGTAAAAAAAACATGTCATACAGTATAAATACATGTCACTGACAAATACGTGTAGATGAAGAAAAAAAACAGCTTTCAGAATATGAAACCAGCAGCTTTAGCATTCCTACTTGGTCTCTGAAAACATTCCGTCACTGCCAGTGCTGCCGAACCAAGCCAACTGTCATCAGTTTAGGACGTGCCGCGCCCCGAAGACGTTTTACGATCATCTTTCCATCGGTTGGCCATGATTTTGTTGTGGTTCGTCGTCACGAAGGCCTTTTCGCACTTTCATGGGAAAAATCTGGTCGTTCTCATGAAGTTGACGTTATGAAAGTTGTTTGTTGTCAGCAAAATCGGCCAATGGAAAATGAATGACGTGAAATTGAGACATTGAAATGTGAACGTTGTGGGGGTGAAAATGTTGTCAACGGGGTACGTTGAAATGAGGTTTGGCTGTAGTGATATTTTTTCAGTGACTAAAAGGAGGATAGTTTCTTAAACTAAAACCTTTTTACAGGACACCAAACCACTGGCGTCCTTGCAAAAAGGGCTCCCCCTGTCGGAAGCAAAAAGTTGGAGGAAGTGTCGTCTCGCCAAGATACCCACAGTTGGTTTCGATCACAGCTTTGTCCAGGATGACGACCATCTCGTCCTGGTTACGTGCGTCGAAATCAAAGACGCACTGGTATTGGGCCCACTCATCCTCCGGGATGGCCGAAACGTTGAGGCACACGGTCTTCTGGAAGGTTCCTTCGTGGTTGGGCAGGATCTCCCCGCCGTCGCGGAGTAGCTCCTGGACCTTCTTGCCATCTCTCCGCCAGAACATCTTGGCTCCGTGGTCCGGGTAGAAGCCCGTGGCGTGGCAGCAGACTGGCGACCGGGGCGTCTTCTGGAGGAGCGCCACCTTGGGGTGCACTGCAGGAGAGGGAGACACCTCGGATGACTTCCTCGCAGTGACTCCAAAAAGTGTGACGCTAAAGTGTTATTCCAAAATAGATGACACGGAATTTCACTTTGTCCTCATGTGCTTCGAATTTACTTTTTTACTATTTGGATCAATTTGCTCAGCCATCGAGAAAACTCACCGGCTGAGATTACAGATTAAGTTTGAAGTGGAGTTCTTGTAGGCTGAAATTCCGGCAATTTCAGGGCACGGCACAACATCCTTAGCCTCACGTTCAACCGACATTGACTGAACAGACTACCAAAAAGAAGAGTGCTGTCATTTGTGCTTGCCGAAAAGTGTCCCCACTTCAGCCTACAAGAACTCCACTTTGAAAATGTCATCTCTGCCTGGTGACGTGACGATCATGACAAGGGTCCTCCTACCTATTCTGTTCAGGAACTCCCCCCCGAAGAGCATGTAGCTTTTGATCCTGTCACGACAATCGTTCAAGTAGAAGTGCTTCATGTACTGGATGGTGGCTGTCTCGGCGTCCCATCTATGTTTGGTGAGGCGGGCCGCCTGCTGGGGTGCGATCCAGGTCTCGGCGTCCAGGTCCAGCAGGATGAAGTCTTCGCCGTTGTAGCCGTAGCGGTTGAAACCCCTCGCCGCGCCCGTGTCGTTGTCGACCTCGCAGCCGCTCACACGCTGGAGGACGTGCTGGTCTGGAGGAAGCACAACCACGTTTAGTTTGAGAGGGAAAGACGATTCTGGATATCTGAGGACACAAGAACTGATTCGGAAAAGCCGTTAAGATGGAAATGGTCTTCGACTGTGGCCACTTGGGCCGAGCTAATCGTACCAGCCGATTTTAGGCCTCTTCAAATTAATACGGTGGTCGTCGTACCTCCCGTCTGGTTGAAATGGTTCTTGAGGTTGTAAATGTCTGCGTTGAAGTCTCTCCGGTGTTTCCGGCACTGGTTGGCGTGCCAGATCAAGTGCTTGGGGTCCTTCGCGAGGTAATCTTGGACCCAGGCCTGCTTGGGCTCGGCCATATCTTTGTCGCTGTCATAGTAGCCCACCACCTCGTCATTCAGCATGACCACACCCACGAACTGTGGCATATTGGGAACCCCCGAGGTGGCGGTCAGGAAGAAACTAAGGGAGAAATTTACTGCAGGGTGAAAGAGATTGTCAAGATCATTTGCAGGAGACACAATTAAGCATTTTCCCCCACAATTTAGAACAAGTCCCTCGAAACCATCAGTCCACTTAAAGGGCACAAAGACGTGGTGAACTTTGCCGAAGTGACAAAGCGAAAGTAAAAGTCAGGAAAGTTTCACGAGAGAAACAAAGTAAGAATAAACCGAACAGAAAATGATTTTAACTTTGCCGAAGTGACAAAGCGAAAGTAAAAGTCAGCAAAGTTTCACGAGAGAAACAAAGTAAGGATAAACCGAACAGAAAATGATTTTTTTTCTTTACCCGAGGACGTCGCCTCGCTGAGCAGCAAGACGAGGAATATCTTGATCATTTTGGTCAGTTGTATCAATGTTTGTTTTTCATCTCATACACGAGCTGGTTGGCAGAAAGCTAACTGGAAAATGCGCAGGAAGGAGAAGCGGAAGTAGCGTATTATTTTCAGAATAAAACAGTCAAAAGTGTAGACACTTTGTCATGCCGTTGAATGAGAAACCGCGATTAAACGTTTGACTGGTCATCGTTCTAGTGACAAAATGTATTGAAGTTGCAGTTTTTTTTAAATACTCATTTGGCTAATTAAATCATTGATTTATTGCACAAAATAAAAATATTGTGGAATAAGCAATTCGGATAATGGATGGATTTTAATGGGCATATAATTATTTTATGAATCAAATGAACTATTTTTACATCTTTAACATGTCCATTCTACACTTTTATTGTTTGTTTGACGCGTCCCTGCTGTCACTTTAAAAATGAAATCAACCGTCGCCCTTGAGCAAAAAAGTTTGCCTTGCTTCACGTGGTCCGCATTTGCATTGATATGTGCGGTACACGTGTCGGTTTAGTCATGCAGCGAGTGACAATTAAAAAGTTCCAGTATATCTGTTTATTATTACAACCAAATACAAAAAAAAAAGAAAATAAAAAGAGATTTCATGTGCATCACATTACAGGGAAGTGCAAAGGGCATTTGGAAACAAAAGCAAGAGTGCTTGAGGCTAACATCACAGTATTCCTCTCTTTGATACTCACGGTCAATAAATGTAACAATACACAAATAATGAATGACACAAGTCCAAAATCAAAAAAAAAAATGTTGAAAATGTTACGTTAATGAATAAAGCACGTGGCTTCAATGTCCGCTTAAGAGCGGGGGATTCTTTTGGAATAACTTCTGGTCCATGGCTCACTGCTCGCAGGCTTGACCGTCAGATTCGGGTTAGCATTCGGGGAGCGCAAGTTCCACGCCCGCTAAGGATGGAAACATGGAAGACGCAGCAATCAACGGCCAATTTTGACCCAAGCCTCCTCTTGCGTGCGTTATCAGATACAACTCGGTGGAAGGTCGAACACTTACTGTTAACAGCTCGGAATTCTGAAAAATAAAAAGACAAAAGGAGATGTCGCAATGTCATTCTGAGAGTCAATGATGAGACAAGAGATAAATAGCTCTGAGGAGACTTTGGCCTTTTTTGTCCTGTCTATCATATGAGCGCCCTCAGAGGACACAGCACTCATTAGGAGAGCTCCGCACCCAAGTGCTGAACTTCATTTGGATTAAAAGAAAGAACGTCTCCAACAACCCAAAAAGAGTCAAATTTGCCTCCATTCAACCTTGGGTGGCCAGTTCTAAAGTTACGCATTGTTCTCACCACCATTTCTTCGGCGGGTGTAACATCCCGCGGCGACGGCTGCCACAAGGACCAGCAGCACCCCTACGGCGCCTCCGATGACGGCGCCAGCTGGAAAATTTGAGGGAGGAACTGAAAACGAAACACAACGTTGAGCTCGTTAGGACGGCGCGCAAGCCCGTTGTTGTGTTCTGACACTTTTCATGCACACGAGCCTTGTTTCTACCAGTAGTGGAGTCACTGCCACTCTTTGGCAATCTTCGGTTGGCTACAAAGTGCAGCGCTGAAGTGCCTTAAGGGAACTCCTGGCCAGAGGTAGACAGCGTACATGCTGGCAGCTGTTGCGGTGTCCCGCACCCTCCGCCACCCCCCCAAAAAAAACAAGCCATAGCACCCATTGGCATCCTTCTTTCGGGTACTATGCATGCATATTGTTCAGATACCTGAAGCGAGCGGGGCTCAGAGTCTCAGCGACAAAAGGAACTCTCGCTTTCACATCCAACAGTCAATTGCATCCACACTGACTTACTCCAGTTGGTTTGGATGGCGTCTTTGTCCAGTTTGATGACCAGCTGCTCCTCGACGCCGCTCAGCTGAAACACGCACTCGTACTCGGCCCACTGAGCGAGCGGCGACTCGGACACGTTCAGGGTCACGCTCATCTGGAAGGTTCCGTCGTGGTTGGGCAGGATCTCTCCATGCTCCACGTGTTCGTAGAGCTCCTGGCCATCTCTCCTCCAGAACAGCATGGCTAGCTTGGGGTAGAAGCCCGTAGCCTGGCAGCATACCAGCGACGTGGGTGTCTTCTGGAGGAGAGCCATCGAGGGAAGCTCTGCAGGGGACACACAGAGTGAGAAAGAAGTCCCATCGGCGCCTGTTATAGTGTTCAAGTTTCAAGCGAGTCCCAAGTCGATGCGGCTAAACTCCAGCAGGTAGGTCAATTTGGGTCTCGCGGAAACCAACGCCGACGGCCAGTCGACTCTTTCACCCAAGTGAGTCGGTCTCCGGTCCCAAAAGGTCGACTCGAGCCTGACTGGAGCCGCCGGCGGCATCACGTGCCTGGAGGGCGACCTCACCTTTTCTCTGCAGGACGCTCCTCCCGTAGTTCACGTACATCTTCAGCCATTCCGGGCACTTCTTGATGTAGTAGCGCTTGTTGTATTGCAGCCTGTCTATGTCGTTGTCCCAAATAAGCTTGGTGGTGAAGGCCTGCGAGGAGGGCGCCGTCCACATCAGCGTCTGCAGGTCCAACGCGATGAAGTCTTCGCCATCATATCCGTACTGGTTGTAGCCCACGACCTCGCCGCTCTCCTCATCGAGATCGCAGCCGTTCAGCCGCTGTAAAACGTGGCTGCCTGGTGGGGAAGTCAGAGTGCGTGAGAAGGCACGGCTAGCGGGCCCACTCTTGTAACCACATCCATTCTATTGGCGGCTAAGAGAGAACATGACACACCTCCGGACTGGTTCAACCGTTGACTCAAAGCCTCGAGGTGTTTCCTGAAGACCAGCTGGTTGCCAGAGCATTTGCGCTTGTACCAGTCCAGTTGTTCCGGTATATCCCGAACCAGCTGCCTCATCCATTCCTGTTTGAGCTCCGGCGACTGGATGTCGCTGTCCCAGTAGCCCAATCGGACGTCGTCCACCTCAGCAGCACCCACAAACTCGGGGAAGTTTTTCACCCCAGATGTTGCGATGATGAAGTATTTCAGGGAATGTCTTGCTGCATTTTTCAGAAATAAATATCCACGAGTGAATCACGTGTGACAAATATATCATGACACAGCTGCGTTTTCAGGACCAGCTTGTTTAGATCTCTAAAAGAAGAGATGGCATTCCATCATTTATGCCCACTCCTTTCCAAACGAATGTTCTAAACAAACTTTCAAACGTTAACTCGCATTTCACCGCCTCAGTCTGATGGTTTATTTACCGAGTGGATTTCTCAAATAAAGGTCTTCCACCATATTTACTTTTTGGGGGTAAAAATCAACTTTGGTGTTGTTTTCATGAGGCACGGAAAATACTGCTATTTTGATAATGCATGGTGAAAATGAAACCGAAAGCGAGTAGCCAAGGTCTTATTGCGCACTGGGAGGAAAGAGAAAATATGTGAAATCGGGGCAAAATTAGAACAAGTGAAAGCGAGCTGACCTGCAAATGTGTCCTGCAAAATCCACAATTCCAAGTTGAGCAGCAAAGTCAAAATCTTGTTCATTGCGTTCTTCTTCTTGATTCTCTTCGCACGTGACGTTGTTTGAAGGCTACTGCGAGCTGTAGGAGGGGTTGCGAGGATTTTACCCCAGCCCACTGATAAGACACAAGGAAGTATTTTTATAACACATTGAGCGTCACAGTGTCCGTCACGTGTTGAAACCAGAACACAACATTAAATAGCACATGGATAATATGTGACAAAAAACACAAAATGGTTTCACGTATAAGTCTTAAGAGGCTGCTGCTTGCTTTTTTTTTTTCCCGACCAGCGGGTGTCGCAATGGTACGGAACCCTAAGGTGACGTGGAAGAAAATAAAATCGCGTTCCCTCGCAGTTTTGCATTCCTTCGCAAAGATTTCGATAACGCTTTTTTTTTTTTTTTTTTTGCAAGGGGTGTTTTTTTTAATGCGCTTCATGTACTTTCTGATCATTTTCCGGGTAACTGAAAACAACAAACATGGAGCGTTTTCACCCGATGGCGAGTTTAATGGAATTTTACTTTGAAATTGGCTCGAAAGACAAATACATTAAAACTGTGTTTGAGATTAAATACGGTTTCCAGGTCCTCCCCCGTGATTCGCTTCTTCTCCGAAGTAGTGTCGTCTCTCAATGAGCCGCGCATGAGTCGAAGCTGACCCGAAAGTACTAAAACGCGCATTTGAAATCAGCGTCCCTTTGCAAATAAAAAAATTAATTAAAAAATAAGTTTGCCTTATCTCGCAATCTTTGCAGCGAACGCTTTTTCATCTTCCATGTCACCTTTGGGGCTCTGTACAATGGTGCTTTTGAAACCTAGAAAAAAATAAAACGGTTTTCTTCTCGAACAGCTGGAAGCCTGCAGTCCTATAATAAATGAACATCAATGAATGCCAAATTATTTGTGAAATTTAAAATAATACTTAAAATAGAGTATATTTAAAATAAAGAATGGAAACAATTAATGAGTAGATAAGTAACAACATATTTGGGAACAGCCTCCTTTATAAAACGATCATATTCTATTTTTTCTTTCTTTCAAAAATTATATTAAATCTAACCTGATTTAAATTATCCAACAATGTTATATTCTTATTATATATTCTCTTATTATATTTACCGGTATTTTTTTTTGTATTTAATACATGGAAAAATAACAGCTTCATGTATATATAAGCATGTTTGAATAAATAAATAAATACACATGGTAGGGGGTTGACAAACTACCGGTGCAAAAGCATCTACATTGTTCATACTGTAAACTGATTCTATATATACAGTATAAAGGATATCTTATCTTATCTTATCTTCATTTGTTTGGCAGTTGGTTTGCGTTTACACTGTAACGTCACGAGTTCCAACAGGACGTGCCGCCAAAGAATCAACAAGGTAAAGCCTCGCGAGATTTTCGCCGCACTTCCCCCGTTTCCCTCCACTTTCTCCCCTATGGAATCCGAGACAGTGAAAAAGAGGCACTTGCGCTATATAATAGGCGGCTTGTGTTGCGATCGTGGTAAAACACATCATGCAATTCTTAAAGATTCCAAAGATTGCACAAATGTCCTGTGTCATATAACACTAATAAGTAGTGACTACTTGCGGCAAGGAAACGAGCAAAAGGGATGCGCGCTTGGAATCGGGATTTCTTCCCGCGAGATTTGGAGACTTGCGCGAATGCCACGTCTCGGCGAGCAGCTAGCATAGCCATAGGTAGGAACCGAACCTCCGAGGTGACGCTGGAAAAGACAAACAAACTCGCAGGCAACCCGTGGAACATTGGCGCCCTCCGGTAGGCATCCTCAACCACGTTTGTTTGCGTGTTAATTTGGCCCGTGCTACTTCTGTTGTTAGCATTGGCTAACCGCTTCGCCGCCAACTGATGCTCCGTTCGTTCTCGCGTTCGTTTTGTTGATTTGTTTTTCGGCTTAACGTGGTGGTAAAGTCAAGAAATAAAGCTGCTTAATCGGTCACGGCCGATGCGTCGAGCGAGAAAGTGAATTCCCAATGCAAACTTGAAAACTGACTCTTGAAAGTTGAGGTGCAAAGTTTTCAGCGCTGCAGACCCTTGCCTGCAGTTTCCGCTTGAAAAGAATAAAAGCAATACCAACAGAATGATGCAATGCAGTTCTCTCAATAGTCTCGAATCTTTTCATCAGATTTTTGCACGCAGAGAGAGTCACCTGTGGTTGCCACGACACACTAGTTGGCAATCACTATTTTCTTCAGGTCCTCAGAGGACTGCAGTTACCAGGAAGTTGAAGGTCTTGACGGTCGATGTTTTGGAAAGTGAGAGACAGTGTATGTTTCCTAGAATTGTTTTTATTCATGTCCTTTTCCAGGTAAATACAATGGGCCACTTACATCTGCTGGCGGCGACGCTGGCCACATCTGCTCTCGTGCTGTTGTTGGCCTCGCATCTGAGCGACGCTCACGGCCACTCGCATGACCACCATCATGGGCACGGGCACGGAGATGAGCACCACCACCACCACAGCCACCACAGTCACTCGCACGGCCCGGAGGCGAAGATGTTCCACGGCGCCAGCAAGTGGAGCGCCGAGGCCAACCTGCCGCCAGAGGAGGAGGAAGTGGGGGAACGCCACAGGCACGACGAGCATTGGCACGGTCATGACGATGACCACGGACATGAGCATGTGCAAAACGATGACCACGTACACGCCGGTGACCACGGTAATGAAAATGACCAAGTGCAAAACGATAACGACCGGCATACGGATGACTTGCAAAACGATGACCACGTGCAAAACATTGATCAGGGTCACGCCGATGACCACGAGTATCTCAGTGACCCTGAGCAGGTTGATGACTACGATTACACCAATGAGCAAGAGCAGCCTGATGACCACACGCATGCCGATGACCTCGAGTATGTCAGTGACCAAGACTGGGTTGACGACCAGAGTCGCCACGATAACCTTGGCCATACCGATGACCACGCCCACACGGATGACCAACAGCAGGTTGATGACCACGGTCACGCCGATGACGGTGTGCATGCCCATGACCTAAGCCATACCGATGACCAGGGTCACGTCAATGACTACGAGTATGCCAATGACCAAGAGGTTGATGTCCACGGTCACGCCGATGATGACGACCATGCACACGGTGATGACCACGTGCATGCCAATCACCAAGCGAATGCCGATGACGGTGCCCGTGACGCTGATGACCTCGGGCATTCGCCATGGGCGCAGGCATGCGGATGACCTCGCTAGGATTGTCACTGTAGCGTATTTTCAGAATCGATTATTCCATCCCTTAATGGAATAATTGGATCAAAGAAACATTTTTTTGTGATTACTGTTGTTTCTTTGGTCGTGCTTAATGCTCAAACAACAGTTAAGGGGTATGGCGCGAGAGGAAGAGACGTAGCCGCCAACCTTTTTGAAATTGAGAGCTACTTCTTGGGTACTGTTGAATGCGAAGGGTTATTTGGTGACTTCAGAAGCGATTATCTGTGGATGAAATGAGTCATTGTTGTACCCTTCAGACCATGCGCACGCTGATGCCCGCGGGCACGACCACGGTCGGTCACACAGCCACGATCACGACCACGGCCACGCACACAAAGAGCCGAAGAGCGACGCAGAGAAGCGGGACGTGCTGGAGCTGTGGATGCAGGTTAGACCCCAAACCATCCTCCGCCTCCCCGCGATGACGTGGAAAGCAATCCCTCATCCCGACCTTCCCTTTCCTGCTCTCAGGCCATCGGCGCCACGCTGCTCATCAGCGCCGCGCCGTTCCTCATCCTCTTCCTCATCCCGGTTCAGTCCAACAGCGACCAGCACCAGAGCTTGCTCAAGGTGCTGCTGAGCTTTGCGTCGGGAGGCCTGCTGGGCGACGCCTTCCTTCACCTCATACCGCACGCTCTGGGTATGTCATGCGGCTTAGCGTCGGAATGCTGAATGAAGGCTGACTCGCATTTTTTTTGCAATAGGCTCACACCGAGAAAAACTAAAAGATCAAAATTCGTACTTGGTCCCTGCAGTACAAAACCAGCTTACAGGTTAAACTTGTGGCATCTATTGGCAGCTGTAAAAAAAAAAAATTCCTCGCAACTTTGAATTCGTTTCATGCACTAGCCTGGAAGTCAAACTTCCCGTCGCATGCTTAGCAGTAATTCCGCAACGACAGGACGTCGAGAAAAAGATTCAAGCTGACCTTCTGCTTTCTGCCAATGCCGCAGAGCCGCACTCTCACCACGGCGACACCACGCACGCCGCCGAGGAGTCGCACGGCCACGGCCATTCGCACGGTAAGTGACCCTCAAACCGTCCGGAGTCACGTCGCCACTTTTACGACTTGGGGCTTGCTTGTCTAAGACTCAGCGGAGACGCGACTTAACTTGGGAGTGAGACTGTAAGGCGTGTGACTTGCTTATCCCAAAGAATGATTTGACAAGACTTGATTGAACCACGAAGGTTGTGACTTGCCCATACGCGACTTACTCCCAGTTGTGCTTCCACAGGCGCCGCCCACGATCACATGATGTCAGTGGGCCTGTGGGTGCTGGGTGGCATTGTCGCCTTTTTGATTGTGGAGAAGTTTGTGCGCTTTCTGAAGGGAGGCCACTCCCATGGGCACTCACACCGTAAGAGCAACGCCGAGAATTCCTCCGAGCCCACCCAGCTCACTTGTCGCCTTTGATTTAAACCTTTTTTTTTTTTTTTTTAAGCTCTTGTCAAGGAGAAGGACAGCGATGGTGAAGACAAGAAAGCACCAAAAAAGAAGGTGGCGAAGAGTGCTGGTGAGTATAGAGCTGGGCAAGTCGTTGATTTTATTTCGGTCCGAACAATTAATCTGATTCAAACCGATTATCTCGAATTGTCGTGGAATGCAGTCGCGTGTTTTACCTTTTTCTGTCTTTTTTTTGCTGCAGACATCAAGGTGTCTGGCTACCTGAACTTGGCGGCCGACTTTACTCACAACTTCACGGACGGCCTGGCCATCGGCGCATCTTTCCTGGTGGGCCCGGCGGTGGGCGCCATCACCACCCTGACCATCCTGCTGCACGAGGTGCCGCACGAGATCGGAGACTTTGCCATCCTGGTCCAATCCGGCTGCACCAAGAGGAAGGTGGGCCACAGCAGTTTTTTTCACCCCCACTGCCCCTCCGTTTGACTTCTTAAGTGTTAAAATTTCTGTCCATTCTCAGTCATCCCGGTCATGATAATCCACAAAAGTGAAATGGAGGCAAACAGCCAAGAAGCCTGCTGGCTCCTTTCAACCTCTGTGCATTGCTGTGGTTACCTTCCCGTTTCCCATCAGGCCATGTCTCTGCAACTGGTCACCGCCGTGGGAGCGCTGGCCGGCACCGCCTGCTCGCTGCTGGCCGAAGGCGCGGGCGCGGCAGCCACCACGTGGATCCTGCCCTTCACGGCGGGCGGCTTCATTTACATCGCCACGGTGACAGTCCTCCCGGAGCTTCTGGCCGGCCGCTCCACTTTCGGCCAGTCGCTGATGGAGATTCTGGCCCTGCTATTCGGCGTCGGCATGATGGTTCTGATCGCAGAGTACGAGTGAAAAAAAGAAGAGCGCTTGAAATGACATCGTTGATGTTTGGTTTTTGTTGGGGGCTTTTTTTCCACCCCCAAGATGGGAACGCATAGGAAATGAAATGATGGACACATCTGGAGAGGACTTCTACTTTGTCACACACGCACACATTGTTTTTGTTCAAAGTAGCTGCTTGGTTTAAAGCACACATGCGCAAAATGTTCGCATACCTGAAGAGGTCGAACCTCAGACATGTCATTGGATTGGATTTTTATTTATTTTTTTTAAGTTGTGGCCACAGTATGGATATAACATGCACGAAATGTTAATTCCAGGCCACAAAATGCTAAATTGTGGCCAAGAGCTCGGTGCACACAAAGTACTGATTTGTAGATAAGGGTCATGTACACTAAATTGTGGCCATGAACTAGGGGCAAAATGCATCCAAAATACTTTGTTTTGAAGTGCATGTGGACATAAGAAGTCAGTAGTACACAGCCCCAGGTAGGACATTGAACAATTATTTGAAAATTGCAATCACAGAGTTCGGTGCCACTATAATATGCTAACGAAATACCAAATTGTGGCCCTCAAATAGGTCAAAGTACAAAATACAAGTTGTCGCCAACAAATTAGATGAAATCTGCGCACACAAGAATTGTTTGTGGCTTGACAAATATTCCACTGAACGCCTTGGACATTTGGGGAGCATCGAGGACCATTTGCTTATTTGTCCACAAATGATATTTGTATTTTGAATGCGCACTCCAATTGATTGGGGACCACAAATGAGCATTTTTGTGCAATTACTTTGTTTTTAACCTCCCGTGTCATGGTTTGGGGCTCCATACATAAACGATCAAGTGCGAGTGAGCGCAGAGGACCAGGCTGTTTGTGAGCGACTGTGAAATCAGCACACCACCCCCATTGTATGTAACGGTGACCAACAATAAAGGCTGATAGCGTTCCCGATTTCGGCCGTGATTGCAAATGCCACAACACAACCGCTCGTAAGTAGGAAAACATTTCCACTAAACCGAGCACTTTCCGTCGGGAGAAACCACGCGGTATGCTTGACTGCTGGCCAGGGGGGGTGCAGGGGGCAGGGCCAATGAGAGATTGACCCCAGGCATCCATCTAAACTAGTGTTCGAGTTTTAAAATTGAATCAGCGTTTCCAATCAGGGTTTCAAACCAGCGTTACCGTTTTAAAATGACGGTTTCAAACTCGGAGTGCTCTGGTTTTTGAAGTAGGCTTGAATGTAAATGTCGGATTCTTTGACGAGCGGAATGGCAGCCGACGCCCACCTTGCTAACTGCTATTTTACCTTGAGGCTAACGGTGGGCAAAGTCAGTACTGTTTTCGCTGAAGTTAGCCAAACAGTCTTGTTTTCTTTCCGCTTTTATTTCCTCCGCTCATCACACCTTTGACTTGCTCAACCCCAAGCCATTGTCGTTGGACTGTCCTGTCTGTCCGTCAGGATTGTCGGCGAGAGCGCTCTTGTACAGGCCCTCCAGAGACTTCTTGGCCGGGGTCCTCAACCGCTGCCCCACAAAGAAGTAGAGAAGCGGGTTGATGCCGCTTTTGATGAAAGCCACGCCTCTAGCGAGGGGCATCCATGTCTTGAGCAGTGCGCAGTTCCTATCCAGAATCTTGAGGATGAGCAGGGCGTGGTACGGAGCCCAGCACAGGAAGAAGGTGGCCACCAGCAGGGCCAGCACCCCCAGGACGCGCCACTTGCCCGCCAAGCGGGTGCGGTGGATGCCCACCCCGGCCAAGATGTAGCAGGCCAGGATGACCAGGAAGGGCAGCAGGAAGCCGAACAGGAAGCGCACAACGTAGAGCCCGTTCCTGCTATTCAATTGGCACTTGGCTATGTCCTGGTTGCACATGAGGCTATGTTTGGAGAAGAAGGGCCAGCTGAAGGCCAAGACCACCACCCACATGCACGTGGCCACCACTCGGGCGGCGCACACGGTGCGGTGGCGCCGGGTGAACACCGGGAGCCGGACGCAGAGGGCCCGGTCCACGCTGATGACGGCCAGCATGAAGACGGAGCCAAACATGTTGGCTTGCTTGCAGAAGCCGGTAAACTTGCAGATGAACAAGCCAAAGGGCCAGTGGCCCAGGAAAAGCTTCTTGACCAAGGAGAAGATTCGGGTGATGCAGAAGACGAGGTCCGCCATCGCCAGGTTGACCAGCCACACGTTGAGGACGTTTGCCTGGGGAGCGAGCATGCAGGACAACACACAAGCAAAGATAAGAGAACAGTCTGGTACTGTGTAAAGCACTCAAGTCAGCTTTCATGTCAAATACACTCTATGTAGAACATACAGCACAGATGAAATTGATTTCCCCTCAACCACAGTGGAAGCATGCAGTGCATTAAAAACACACCGCTAAAAATAAGGGTGGCGAAACTGAACTGTATAAAAAAGACAAATAAAAACAATAGATAGCAATCAACAGTCAACAGACTGTTTAAGTGCAGTAAGCCGATGTCAGATGCTGAGTGGGGGTGGGGGGGGGGGTCACAGTTTGGCGGGATGTAGGGGCAGAATATGGAGGGAGTTGAGTCTCCTGACCGCCGCTGCTGGAATAAACTGTTCTTGAGCCTGCTGCTTCGAGCACAGAGACTCCGCAGTCTCCTCCCCGATGGCACCAGGTCGAAGAGGCTGTGAGATAGGTGGGTGGGGTCACCTGCGATTTGGATGGCTTCGCGGGTTCAATATATATATACACGCGTGTAGATATAACATGTCAACGCACTCGAGGTCAAATCCAAGTTTTTAAGATGCAACCGAGATATATCACTTCAAAACATTTTCCTCCCTTAACATGATCTATAATCTGTCAAACTAAACTGAAAAAGAGGCTGTGAGATAGGTGGGTGGGGTCACCTGCGATTTGGATGGCTTCGCGGGTTCAATATATATACGCGTGTAGATATAACATGTCAACGCACTCTAGCTCAAATCCAAGTTTTGGTGACGGAAAAAAAAAGATGCAACCGAGACTGTTAGCGTGTTGAGGACCACGGCGACCACGTTGATTTGGTTTTCGGCACTCGTCTTGGCCGCCGAGACGCTGACGGAGTCGTTGAGGAAGAGAGAAGGCGCTGTTTCCCTACGATGCATCATGAGACCTGAAGAGGAGGCAAAGATGCGAGCACTGCAGCCACCTGACTTGTCTCCAGTCAGACTGAAGTCGCCACTTTTAGCTGAAAGACCCGATGTAACTGGTCTTCCACGTAAACACGACCTAGCAATTCTTAGCCGTTTATATTCGAAAATCTGCTTTTTCGAGGTAGTGTTTTGTTTTCGAAAGAAACTTGTTTTTTTTTCCGTGCGTTGCCCACAAACTTTGCAGTATGCATGCGGAGTGATGTAACTGGTCTTCCACGTAAACACGACCTGGCAATTCTTAGCCGTTTATATTCGAAAATCTGCTTTTTCGAGGTCGTGTTTTGTTTTCGAAAGAAACTTGTTTTCTTCCCGTGCGTTGCCCACAAACTTTGCAGTATGTATGCGGAGGACAGACGCTGCCGCCCTTAGTCTCCTTCACCCTATCACATTCGGATTCAAGGATGATGTTTTTGATTAAAATCGCGAACGAGACGGCCTGCGAGGTTAGCAACTCATCGATACGAGGCACAACAACTACATCTTACTTTATTCGTCATTTAAAACCAACAAAGACGAGAACCCATGTTAGCTTCCTTTTTAGCTCAGTGGCCCCTCACCTTTTTGTCGGTCAATGGACTAGCTTACACGATGTGTTTAATGTTTATAATATTTATGTCTTTCGAGACCATGTATAACATTGAGCATTCTACCGTGTTTCATGTCTTGTCCTAGTTGTTTTCATCGTGAAGACGACTGGAGCACATCAACTTGTGTTCGCTCGCTAGCATCGGAACACCAGGCAACCGTGCTTCAAAATTCATTTATTTAACCAGTGAAAACAACGTATTCGGAGTTGTAAACCTCTCTTCGAAGAACGACCTGGCCGGAACGGGCTCATAAAATCAAAATCTCACACCCAACTAAACACATACGACGGTTAAGCGCAGCCCGATCCGATCCTCGGTTTGAACTTAGAAGCGAGTTTATAGCGTTGTGCAGTTTAAAGGACGGGTTCTTATCAGTTAGGAATCACAAGTATGTAAAAGATGTCACCAGAGGAATTTCATTCCTAAGATGTTTTTGAAACCAAGGACGCTAAGAAAGCAGCTGCTAGCCGTTTGAAAATAGCATTCTCTTTCATTTATGTGACTCCGGACACTAACTTAAGCTCGTTAAAAGCTTCGAGTGATTTTAAAGCCGACGAAGAACGACGATAAACGATTGTATCCTCGGCATACAAATGGAACATTTCATCAGGCTCACAACGCTTTTTCGGATAATTTGTGAAGACAACCACCACTCACCATTCCGTTGAAGATATTGCCACGTACGTGACTTTGATATGTGGCTTTAAAATGGCGGGCCCGGCACGTGTGTGTCAAAATGACTGTTTTTTTTTTCCACTGGCTAAATGTCTGAAAGATTGTGGATCTGATTGGACCCACCCGCTGGTCACCCCTGATGATCGACGTGACACCTCAGCAAGTGTAGTCGAAATTAATCTGTAGCATTTAAAAAAAATTTAAATAGCAACACCTGTTGACTGCTAAGTCCCTCCTGCGACTGTAGTTGGCGCTACGAATCGCAGAGGACCCAAGGTGAGTCTTCGTGCCTCCTCGAACATTTGAATCTCCTCACCTTGATGACAGTTTTTTTAAGTTTTAATAACATCGTTCTCTGACAAGTGGCGGGCAACGCCTCGCCCTTCCGCCTGTTCGTCTCCATGATCGAAGACAAATGGCCCTGATCGCTTTTCTGGCATTGTGGTCGCTCAGGTTAAAGATGGAGGCATTTTTCGTGTTCTGTGCACAAGTGACACTTCTGTTTTCATGTTAACAGCATGCAACTTGAATTTAGTGAAGACTCACATTCAACAAATTGCGGGTGACAAACATGAACCCGTGAACCGTTCTATCTTTGTTGTCGTAGTTGGACTGCCCCATCCCTTCGTCAAGGTCGTCAGCCAGAGCGCTCTCATACAGGCCTGCCAGAGTCAAGAAGCCGGTTGACGCAGCTGTTGAAGTAGGCCACACCACTTAAAAAAAAAAAGAAAATTTTCTACTCAACTCCATTTATTGAAAGGACTACTCCTAAAATGAATGCAAACTAAACTAAAACGAAGCATTTTCCCCAAAAATCCCCCCCCCACCAAAAAAAATAAATAAAAATTTGCATCTCACTGTACAGGACTAGTGAGCAAATCCGGTGGGACTAGTTATGCATTCCGTAAACAGCACGGTATACGGTATTATGAGAAGAAACCTTTCCTTTTTCTTTACATTTGAAGCTACAATGGGTGCTATACATTATCATTATTATTATTCTCATTCTTATTGTACAGTATTTAGCAGTTATTTTAGCCCCCACCCCCCCCACCGTCACATCCGAGACTGGCTCTCCACGGAGTCGTCGTTGGTCTGCCCTGACTGTCCGTCAACCTCGTCGGCCAGAGCTCTCTTGTAAAGACCCGTCAGAGACTTCTTGGACCGGCCCTTCATCTTGAGGCCCACAAAGAAGTAAAGAAGCGGGTTGACGCAGCTGTTGAAGTAGGCCACGCCCTTGGCGAAAGGTAGCCACGTCTTGACCGCCGAGCTTTTGCTGTCCACCATCCTGAGCATCAGCAGGCCGTGGTACGGGGCCCAGCACAGGAAGAAGGCGGCCACCAGCAGGGCCAGCACCCGCAGGGGGCGGGACTTGCCCGACAAGCGGATGCGGCGGATACCCACCCCGGCCAGGATGTAGCAGCCCAGGATGACCAGGAAGGGCAACGCGAAACCGCACAGGAAGCGGATGAAGTAGAGCGCCGTCCTGGCGTCTGCGTCCTTGACCTCCTCTACCGTGCACTTGCTCAGGTTCTTGGCACTCAGGAAGACTTGCCGGTAGAAGAAGTAAGGCGTGCTGAAGACCACGGCCGCCGCCCACACGCACACGGCCACCACTCGGGCGTGACACACGGTGCGGTGGCGCCGAGTGAACACCGGGAACCAGATGCAGACGGCCCGGTCCACGCTGATGACGGCCAGCATGAAGACGGAGCAAAACATGTTGGCGTACTTGAAGAAGCCATTGAACTTGCAGATGAACAAGCCGAAGGGCCAGTGGTCCAGGAACAGCTTCTTGACCAGGGAGAAGATTCGGGTGAAGCAGAAGACAACGTCGGCCACGGCCAGGTTGACCAGCCACACGTTGAGGACGTTTGCCTGGGGGGGCGGGAGAGAGGGGAACCGGCAAGGCTCAAATAACACCGATGAATCGAGGTATTCATCCAGCGACAAGATTTACAGCACAACAGACAACAACTGGCTCGAAAAGAATAAGCTATCAGTCCACCTTGACCTTGACGCCCGCCACCCAGATCACAAAAGAGTTGCCCGGAATGCCCAGCAGGATGGTGAGCGTGTTGAGGACGACAGAGAGCGTGTCCATGTTGCCTCCTTTACTCGCCTTGGCCGCCGGGACGCTCAGGGAGGCGTTGAGGAGGAGAAAAGACGCTGGCTCACCGGAAAGCATCTTGGGACCTCAGGAAGAGACAAGAGGTGGGGTGGGGGGCGGGGGGGACAGTGTTACTTGACAACTCTTTTCTACTCATCGCCTCATTCTAACTTGTCACTTCACACAAGGGCGCTTGGGATTTTGAGTGATGTCACTGTTTAGTGACGTCACAACACAGTGACGAGTTACCGGACGCGCTGCGGACGTGCTGCTCCAACATTTGGAGCAGTGCGTCCAGTAACTCATCAAAGTCATGTTGAGTCACGGCCTCGACGATCTGCCTCCCCACCCGCAACGCCGTGGGAGTGTTTGAGAAAAACAAAACAGGGTCAGCAGCATTTTGGGTGCATTGGTGGTTGCCGGTCAGTCACGGGGCACTTGCACACATACAATGGACTGGTCGCGAGTCACTGTCGGTGACACATATACAGCAGACGAACACGCAATGAATGCTCACATTCACACCGACGACCAATTTCGACATGGGATGGCCGCAGCCGAGATTCAATCACTGAACCTCAAAACGATGAGTCAGATGTGCTAACCACCAGGTCACCTCGCTGTCGGCCCCCACAAATAAACAGCAAGACTGTTGCCAGAAAAATTTCAATGATGTTACGGAGAAAAAGGGGAGACAACAATGTCGCGTGCCACAGTATTAAGAAATGCAAGACTACTGCACGCGTGTGAAAATGGCAGCAAATTTCCCCCGAAATTTGGGGTGGCCAGAGTGTGAGATGGCCGCCCCGCAGCCACCCTCCCCCCCCCTACTTTTTAGCAAAAAAGACACCCCCTCCCGTCTCGTTTCATCATGGCATTGCGTTCACTTCCTCATTCGGTGAAAAGTGAAGGCTGGCCGCCTCCTCGCAGTCCTTCAGAATGACAGAAGAGCGCTCTTGAGAAATAATCCTCCCACTCTTCACTTGCGTCACACACATGAAAAATCCAATTCAAAATTGGGAGATTTGCAACCCAAGTCGGTCAGAGCACAAATCGATCGATATCAAGCGCGCCGCACTCACTGGCTACTTAATTAGGGACTCAATCGAACAGTATTTGTTCACACCTTTGGACGATTTGGATCGAATGTAGCTGCAGAAGTTCCCCGGAACAAGTCTGCGTGTATCTTCATGTGTTGGAGGAAAAATCATGAAGCACAAATAGACCAGAATCAGCTATTATTAGTCCTGCAATGGGGAAATTCCTCCAAATCCTCAAATGTCCATCGACATACTTAGATCAACCGCACGTGGCAATTCTACATCAATCTGAAATTTTTTCTTTTTTCTTATCTTTATTTTTTTACAATAATTACCGATACAATACAATGCCGCATTGAAGGAAACCAAAGATGAAAATATTTTTGTAGAAATACTGCACAGAACGTTTCGTCGACATTGTGGGTTTTGTCATGGTGAAAATTGCTGTACAGCGATGAGGCGGGGGCACTGTTGACATTCATCTACTGTCCCTTCTTAGCCAATCAGGATGGAGAACACAATGCAGTGTAAAAAAAAAAAAAAAAATGCAGGGAAAAAATTGTGAAACAGCAAAGACGTGATTAATGATGAACCGTGTTATAGCGAGAGATTATATAAGCAGTCTTGTGTCAACTGTAAATATAAGAAGAACTACACACACGCACACACACATACGCACACATACACGGATACAAATATCGATCTCCTTCGAATCCGCTTCTCTTCAGAAGGGTCGCGGGTGTGCCGGAGCTGATCCCGGCTGTCTTCGGGCAGTTGGCGGGCGACACCTTGAACCGATTGTTAGCCAATCGCAGGGCACACAGAGACGAACGACCATTCGCACTCTCAATCACACCGAGGCACAATTTCGAGTGTCCCGTCAACCTCGTGTGGACCTGATGTGGACTGTTTTCAGCGGTTTTTTTTGGCTACGACATTCGTCAAAGGAGAAGAATCTGTGCTCGGTGGTTGCGCCTTCTCGGCAACACGCCTGTACCAGCACAGATTTTGATTGGGAGGAATGTCGGCGCTATTGACTGTCGGTGCTGGACAGCCCCCGGGGCGCTTGTGTTTTTTGCGCCTGTAATGGGCAGCATTTTTCACAGCCCCGTTTTGTTCAGTGGAGATGTCGGCGCTGTTGGACAGTCGGCGTTGGCGCGGCTGGATGGCTGCTGAAGTTGAGGATGAGGAGAGAGGGGCGTCGGTGCAGAGCGCCGATGCGTATTTGGAACCGAGAGTCGCCGCTTGGAATTGAAATGGATTTCCATGGGACGGGAGAAGTGAACCAATCACTTTTTTTCGTCAGTGGATTCTCCAGCTTCTTGTTGACTTTGAAACTTAGCTTGTAGCCGACGTGTGCACATTTTGAGCGTGACGTCTCTGATCCACTGGTTAAAGGACAGTTTGATTCTCTCCTCTTTCATCTCAAACTGCTTTAAACAACAAAGCGTGTGAGGGAAAAGTGGTTAGGACTGCGCGACTGTCCGTGTTTTATATTATGTGTTGTGTTTATTATTTTACTTTATGTTAACTGTTTTGTTGAGCGCTTTGTTACAGCTGCCGCTGTTGTGAAAGCGCGATATAAATCAGCATGTATTGTATTGTATATATATATATATAAAAGTCTGACATCAGGTTTTTTGATCATTTTTTGGGGGGGCGGGGTGCTTGAAAGTCATTATATTTGTCTTATGTTGTAATGTGTTCATGTTATAGATGCTGGGGTGAATGTGAACCATGTTGTTACGAGACTAGATGGATCATTAAATAGCCCGAAGCAGTCGCCTTCCAAGCCATGCGGCATCTTGAATCATGTCAGCACACAAAACTCGACTATACTCTGCCTACTATATGTGCACGTGTGAACATTTGCAGCCAGAATAGTCAGCGGCGTTGTCTGTGACCACTATACTTGCGTGATAATATTGAAAATTATTGCAAATTTCCCCAGTGTGGGACAAATAAAGGTTATCTTATCTTAAAATAGGAAGGATCCGTAGCACAAGCCTTGAAAAATATTTGAATGAGAATAACAATTGACAGATTCTCACTTACTTGTCGAACGGCAGGAATCAGGTCGGCCGTCCACTCGATGGTGCGAAGACTGAGTGAAGATACGTACACATGCATTTTGATACTTCCCCTTTTGTGTCATGTGTTCCATCCACACACACACACACACACACACTGGCGAGTAGTCAGCACCATAAATAAATTTACAAAGCAAATGAGAAGAGTGCTATTTTATGTATTTATTTTTTCCAGCACGCCCAACATTTTGCTTCCTATACAGTACGGCTAGGAAAAGATGAAATTTCGATGCCAAAGCAACGCTCAGAACAAGCGGAAGCTTTTGCAGAAATTTGAAAAGAAAAACAGTCAGTCATGTCTGATTGTAATCTTGTCTGCCCCCTGACATGCAGACAGAACCTGACATGCGGTTGGTCCTCGAAGGTGATGAGATGACACGTTTTCTCCTAAAAGGTGACATATTGGCTTCCTGTGAAGTTTCTTTTTTTTTCTTCTTATTTTACATTTCCGTTGCTGTTAGATCTTAATCCTTGGCACAAATATATAAAGACCTGTCCATGAATTTCTGCTCTGGACGCACTGTCCGTACCAGGACTGGGCAAACAATAGAAAAAAATAATACACTGTGCATTTTAATGAACCACGTTCAGAACATAAACACAACATGATGACAACACTGTGAGAACATCATGCTTATTAATATGTGCTCACTCCGCAGCTCTGCTTGCCTTTCGGCTTTGACAAAACGGTGCTTTCAGATGCCGCGACCAAAGTGCTTCTTTCGCTCCGGGTATGCGGCCACCTTACCCGATCATCTGACTGGGTAAGAAAGTTGTGGTTATTATGCTAATTAGCCCCACTGTGATGTCAGAATTCGGCAAAAGCTAAGACTGCTCACTCGCGTACACACATTGTCAGAAATAGGCAGACCACTCGGTTGTTTAATTTCACACTTGCTGGGTGGCAGGCACTCCAGACACACATTTTTTTCAGGGTACAGGGTATTTTTTTAAAAGTCATTTTTACATCGGTCCTCTTGTGACCAAAAATGTTCGACTTCAGTCCACTTGGTGACAGTAATGTCCATTAAAATGAGGTTAAAAACCACCCATCACAGTTTCAAAGTCCAGTAAGATTTTGCCGAGTGCTTTTGGATGACTTCATCACTCCGTTTACAAATTCCTTTACAGTATGCTACATTCAGCACCCCCCCCCCCAAAAAAAAAAAACTAAAACATTTAGACTTCTCAAAAAAACACCTTTTAGACAAACTGGAAACAATTTTATACACAAAATGTAAGTGTAAAATCTGTAGAAAATGCTGTGTATGGTAGTGCCTGTGCACCTGCATGTGGCTTTAAGAGGCGGGTCTAGGTGGGGTGGCGTGCGACATCAGCGAGTCTGCACGTAAGTGTCTGGACGTGAGCTGTGGCTCAAAGCAGCTCAGGTGCGGGTGTGCTTGTGTGTTACTATCAGCGTTTGATCAACAGCTGATAGCTGGCTGTGGCTCTCCTTTCCCGCATGCAATGTCATTCCACTATGTGTTACAGTATAAACCCATTAATTTATTTAAAAAAAAAAAAAACAATTGCAATTAAACCAGAATTGCAATATAGTGGGATGCTAACGATAAATCGCATCGGAGGAATGTATACCAAGAACTTGCTTTATTGTCCCTGTCGGCCAGGTTATACTTGTATTGCATGCATACACATACAGCATGCAGGTGTGTGTGTGTTGCAGGCCGTGTCAAATGTTATTCTTGGTATATGCCAGATTTTGGACACCCCTTTCACTAATCACAACCACAACATACAAAATATATGCCGGAAGGAAGAATGGTAGTGGTAGGAGTAATCATCTTCGCGAGTTCACTTGGTGCTGCTGTTCTCCCCAACACATTTGTGCTTCTTCACCTGGAACTTAAAGGGGAAGCGTTTGTCACACACGCTGCAGCTGAAGGGTTTCTCGCCCGTGTGTCGGCGCTTGTGCTTCCCCAGCGTGGAGCTGTCGCTGAAGCTGGCGTTGCAAACGGAGCAGGTGAAGGGTTTTTCTCCGGTGTGCGTCCGCGTGTGTTTGATCAGATCACCGTTGGAGTAGAAGCGTTTGCCGCAAAACAGGCAAGAAAAGGGTTTCACGCCCGTGTGAATGTGCGAGTGTTTGACTAAATGCGAGCGGTGGAAGAAGCGCTTGCCACAAACCGGGCAGCTGAACGGTTTCTCTCCGGTGTGGATCCTGGTGTGGGAGCGCAAGCGGTCCCTGGTGGCAAACATTTTGCTGCAAATGGTGCAGTGGAAGGGTTTGTCGCCCGTGTGGACGCTTAAGTGGCGGGACAAGTGGACACGCTGGTTGAAGGTTTTGCAGCAAAACGGGCAGACGAATGGCTTCCCGCTTGGGTGGCGCTCGCGTCGCGCGCCGTTGAAGCCCGAGAATCTGCTCCCGGTCGTCATCACATCAGCTGCGGTCTTCGCGGCAAGAAAGTCCAACGTGGCTCGCTGCGAGCGAGTGACACGAGCCAAACGGTTGTGATGTTGCGCTCCCACGCGGGGGTCTACGTCCGCGTGGGCCTCGCCATTCTCCACGGGCGACTGGTCGTGGCTTTCCTCGTCTTCTTCGCTCTTGACAATCACGCTGGTCACCTGGAACTTGGCAGCGTCGACGCGCTCCTCCTGTTGCTCGGCCTTTTGACTGCTACGCATGTCCTCCTCCAACTCCACTTTGATCTGGGGAAGGTTGGACTCCTTCTGCTCCATCATGGAGCTCCACTCCTGCCCGGCAGCAAGATCTGAAGGATACAAAAAGTGGACATTTTAGATTGCGACTCGCAGTTCACCACAGACCACGTCACCGCATGATGGCACCCGTCACCCGCATTAGGTTCTGTCAAGGTTTTCCACGGACAAATCGGGGACACCGGGTAATTTGGAGCGCGTTTGTTGCCCAGGCAGAATCGGATGAAGCTCCCCTGCTCGGTCCCCAGTGCTTGCTATTCAGTCCATGCGGTTTCATGGCTCATTCGAATAATTCAGTTAATTATTTAATGATTGCGTTTACATGCATGCTTTAACGAAAGAAACATTTTGTTTCCTTTTGAGTAATTAAAACAGGGTTTCAGATTGATGGGGGCAGGTCGGGGTGTTATTCGGCGATTTCCCTTGAAGGCCATATCGCCCAGACCTCGAGTCAGTGATTTTAGGATGACAAAGTTGCATTTGACATCTGCTCACTTGCTGCCGCTGGTGATCGAACCCTGAAAAGCGAAGTCTGGTCGTTTGCGTTGGGGCTGGTTCTTCTCTTTTGTTCAACACAGCTCGTACTCTGTCAACGTTCTTTCCAGCGCTACAAATATCTCCTCAACGGCATTGTTAAGTCACCAACCCTCGAAGCATTGGGACTTGACACATTTTCAACACGGTGCCGCTGCTGCCGCCGCCGCCGACCGACTGCTTTTAGCATGCGTGGCTAACTTCCGCGTCTCTTTGTTTACAGCTAGCACTCTAAAGCTAATTCAAACAAACGCCGCGGCTGCCACGGAGTTTCGGGAGACACAAACGACCCGCGGTGCTTTTGCGTCTTTTAAGTGCCACATATGTGTCGTGAAAGGACGGCAAACGTGGTCATAAATAAAGAGGGTAAGCAGTTTTGACACTCACACTGGCTCTGCTTAGCGATGCAGTGATGCTAACTTCCAGTTTTCTCTTCTTCAATTGTGCCATTCGGCCGACCAAATCCCTCACCGTAGCCTTACTGCCCCTTCTGGAGCCAGTGGGTTACTACATGCCAACGAGAAGAGGACCAAGCTGCTGCCCAACATCATAAATAACAGAAAGCAGTTTAGCCACACACACACAAAAAAAAAATCCAAAATTAAGCTTTCTTTGTCTACACTTGTGAAACAGCACAATCAGATCACCATGCAGAGATTATTATTGATAAATTATATAAAGATAAAAATATAAATCACAAGCGAAATGTAGCTCAATGTGAAAGATCAAAAGTAGCATTTCTTTTTCGCAAAAATACCCATTAACCAATTATTTCTTTCACATCTCATTCCACATAGGCGATGCTGCAATCGGCCCTTTTTTGTGCTATATGGTTATCATGACTTTTACCTCTTTGCCTTGAAAATGAAAAACCCAGTTAATCTCGTTGTTCTGAAATCTCAACTAGGAAATTTTGCAAAGATTTTCTGTCTACCGAAATCCACATTTAATAGTGTCAACTGCTGAGTGGACTACTTTCATTGAGGTTTCCCACAGCTAAAGAGCTTATAATAGTTTGTTGTTTTTGTTTTTAATTGTGGCTACACAGGAAAATCCCCTCATGTCAGCTCAGCACCATGCATGTTAAAGGTCCACCCCCGCTGGAGCTTAGCAGCGTGTCCTCGCCAGTCCATCTGTCAGCCTTCATCCCGGGTTTGCCCAGAGACAGTCAAGCTGCATGCACTTTGATTTGACATCCGGCCCATATTTTTGCCTTGTTTGCTGATTTCATCCCTTACGAGTCCCTTCTTATTCCGTTTTTTATTATTATTATTTATTCACAGTGACTTAAATTGTTATACACCTGAATCATATTTGTATTATTCATAAAATGCAAAGGCTTTTATGAAAAAGTAACTTACAATATTTCACTTGACAACCCAGAAAAAAAAGATACATTTTCTTATGAAGCGATTATCTACACTAGGCATGTCCAGCTCCGGGCCTGGAGGGCCTGATTCAGGTGATCAGCTCATCAGCCAGCTCTGAAGCAGCATTCGAACGATCCTGATTATTTGAATCAGGTGTGTTACACCTGGGAGGGCTGGAAAACAGGCAGGACAGCGGCCCTTGAGGACTGTCTTTGGACACCCCTGATCTACACCATGCGGTATCCTAGGCTCGTTACAAAGTCTCATTCGTTCACTTATTTGAACCTCTATCTATTGAACATTGATGCTGTAGCACCTTCCTATGGAGAGGGTTTCCTTTTTAAGTTTAAAATAGCTTACTCTGAGTTCCAGGATCCCTCAGCATACCCTGGCAAATGGCAGAATCAAATATTTTTTTTTCGCTTCGGTTCAGCAACTGTGTCTGTATTGTGTCGTAAGAGCTAGCTACATAATTCTGTTATTTTCAGAATCATTTTGAAGCATTCTATCAATAACGATCATTATTTGTGACTAAAAAAATGCGGAAAATAATGACAAATTAATGAATAAACTTAGTGAACATCTGAATTTCATTTGGGGTTAATCAGAGGTATTTAACTCGTTCAGTACCAGACAATTCTAGACCAAGTCTCAAAAGATGTTTAAAAACGTCTTTGGGAGTGAATGAGTTTTAAATTGGTGGTAAGTTTGTACGGACACCCATTTAACTTGGTCCGGATGTAGTTGGTTCATTGTGAGCACAAGCGCTCGCATCGCCAAATTCTGCTGTAACTGTAACTAAGTATAGATTAATTGGTGTCTTTTTTCTTTACTGTACATCACAAAAATCTGGCATTTCGACAGGGGTGTGTAGACTTTTTATATTGACTAACTGCAGTACATAAAAACATACACGTCTTGACCCCCCCCACCCCCCACCCCATTAACATAGTTTAGAAAAGGTAAACATGGGCTCAATGAATCATTTGTATTACCCCATCGTGTTTGTATGCAAAAAAAATGAATGAAAGAAAGAAAGGAAAGAAATCCACGTCTGGTCACATGATTGTGGGACGAGGCAGATTAGATGAAGGGACTCTCTCCATCATTTCTCTGTGCGGCCCAGGAGGCGAACATCTATCTCGCTCGACATACGTTCGATGTGACAACAAGCTCCACTTGCTGTGCGGTACTCGTCATTGTGCTTTTGAAAAATTATCGTCGGAGCTCAACGGCGGGCCACCCCCTGCAGCATTCATGTAAATTGGTGCTCGTTTCTGTTCTCGAGAGGAACATTTGAGGATGATTTCGCCGTGGGACCGCTGGTACTCGACGAGTTGCTGCCTCTGCTGCCATGTCCGGACGGGCACCATTATTTTGGGCATTTGGTACATGGTAAGTGCTCTTGTTTTTAAAAGCACCTCAACTGAAGCAAACCGGGCGACTTTATCGACATATTTGTTGCGCGTCACATGCCGATGGATTTGAGTTCAGCTAGCTAGCGACGAACCTCATTTGTTTTTTACTCTGAAATAATGCTTGCCTCGGTTTTTTTCAGTTAGTTGACATTTGTAAATAGGATGGAACGTTTTGAAGAAACGTAATTGTAACACCTGATTATCGGCTGAATAATGTGTCAAAGATGTCTCGAAAAAAATCTTGCTACGTCGAGATAAAAATGTGCTTTCGTGCTGTTTGCCCTACATGTGCACTTGGGTTAAATTTAGCACCGATGCTTTTGTACTAACCTGAGCTTTTAAACATAGTAGTGCACCTCTTAAGCCTGCTAAATCCCCGCCTGGGCTTTTGTAAGCGTTTATGCCATACCCCCAACCTGCCCTGTACTTTGAATCGTTTTAATTCATGTGTCTGGACTTGCACCTTAAAATAGCAGTTTTAAAACTCATGTTTTTTTTTTTTGTTGTTGTTTTGAGACTTCCATAGATTAAAGCACATCCTCGCCGAGTTGTTTCCACTAACAACAGGGCTGCAAACAGATAGGAGCTAGTTTGTCAAAGCGCAGTCAGCAACGCCAATTTACCCACTTGGTCACTGTCCACTACTCACAAAAAGTGAGGGACGTTAAGGCAAAAGGTTTTAAAAATAATAACGCAATCAATCAAAAAGTGGATTTTTGCAGTGGAAATCGTTGACGTTTTATTTGAAAGCCGTCATGCATTCCTTGCGTCCATTTGGCTGATCATATAGCAATAACATTATTACTGTATTTCATCAGACTGCCAACTGCTACCAGTAACAAAACAAAACAAACAAACCTTTCTTCCCTGCAGCTCATCAATGCGGTTGTGCTACTCATCCTGTTGTCGGCCCTCAATGACCCCGTGCAGTACCGCTACCACCTCACCAGCTCCGAGCTGGGCACCGACATCGATGTTATGGATGACGCCAGTGAGTGCAAACACACAATTACTCTCCAGTTTTCATCTCGTAAAGTGTGTCGTTTTGTGTTCAAATGGGAGACAGGAAGATAAGAACGAAAGCAGAAAAGAATCGGAATCCTGGTCAGACAAGACTAAAACAATCCAGCTCTCTGTGTGAAAGAGACTGCTGCCAAGATGGATGAATACTTTGGATTCTCTGCAAGAATGACAGCAAGTAAACAAGAACAAGGCAAGAACGTCAACATTGCTGCTAATCCTGACCAAACCAAAACACAAGCTTGTCACATCTTGGCTACATTTAACAAATCCCGTCATGTGATCTATCAATGGATTGGTCAGTCATTCAAGATGGACGCCATAATCCCGCATGGAATGAGCTGAGAGAGAGAGAGAGAGAGAGAGAGAGAGAGAGAGAGAGACTCTTTGCTTGACCATCATGGGCGCCCGAGGAGATGCTCATACACTCTGAGTCGCGTCAGCTGTATCCTGTACCCAAGCTGAAAGCAATATTGTGATGATGATTGTGGCGGTGGAGGGGCTCTTTAGCTTTTAGCTTAGCGATGGAAAACACAAACAGGGTGACTCATTTTAATTCATGAAAAATACAAGCGCTCTGGTGGAAAGAAAGCTTGCTGACCGGAATCCAAGGATTTACCCTCTGTGTGATGTTTTTTACAAATAAATAAATAAATAAAATAATAATAAAAAAGAAGTATATCACGAGTATTAAGGACTAGCCCCGCAATTCGGACCCAGAGGCAGTTTTACTCAGCAACATGCATGACATTTGGGAGGTGTATCTCCCATGAGAAGACCAAGAAATCTGACAAGACACAGAATGCCGTCCATTTTGCTTTTGATGTGGCTAATTCAGCCAGGCCCATTTTGACCATTTCCAGCTGTGCGCCATGTCCTGTTCGAGGGATTTTGTCCACCCCAATCCATTTTCTGATCCGCTTTATCCTCACAAGGGTTGCAGGGGGGGTGCCGCAGCCTATTCCGGCCGTCTTCGGGCAGTAGGCGGGGGACACCCCGAACCGGTTGCCAGCCAATCGCAGGGCACACAGAGACGAACGGGATTTTGTCCATGTCGTCTAAATCGGAAAGACGTAGACTCCTAGGCAGAGGGATGATGCTAAACTTAACTCCGAACCCTTTTTTTCCCCCTTTAGATATCTGCATAGCAACAGCTATATCCCTCCTCATGATTCTCATATGCGGTATGGCGACATACGGTGCTTACAAGGTGAGTTCACACCCGCATTTCCGCATCCCACTATCCTCGGTTTCACCTCATTTGAATTTCCCGCGCAGCAACATGGCGCGTGGATCATTCCGTTCTTCTGCTACCAAATCTTCGACTTTGCCCTCAACACGCTGGTGGCCATCAGCGTGGTGGTATACCCCAACACGGTGCAGGACTACCTCCAGCAGCTGGTGAGTCACAAACCGTTGCCGTTGACTTGCTTGAGTTTTGCCAGCGGAACTTGGAACTTGCTTGAAACTCGAACGTTCTGACTTAAGGCTAATTCAAGACTGATGTGAACGACTCCCACATCTGTTGTTTGGTAAGACTGGGCGCAAATGCTTTTTTTTTTTGTTCCCCTTC